ATTTTCCAAGGCAATCCTACATCTTCCACCAAATGAATAAATAAAACAAGAAGGGACAAATTTTATCCACTACCATAAGTCAAAATCATGGCACCTGTATCCCATTCTTGAACTGCAATAGACCAAAAAGCAGGATGCACACACAAATATTGCATAGAGTTCAAAAACAAATTGCACTATTACACATTCTCAGGCACATTTACAAATAAACAGAGACAACCGAAAAGCAAGCTTTGAATGGCCAAGTGGAGCCAACATGCAAATTTCAGACATGCCTGAACATGGGAAATCTACATTTGTTAAATTGGATAATGCATGGTTACGCTGCAGTGGCGTAATCAGAAATTTAGTGCAGAGGGACACAAATTAATGATAATTTGGTTTTATTTTTTTAAAAACATTTTTTAGAAAATTCTACTTTCTTGTTTTTCGTATTTTTTTCTTTTTACTGATTTTTTTTAACATTTTAAACAAATTTTTTTTTTTACTTTTTAGGCATACCTACATAAATATACCTAAAAAGTAAAAAAAAATTGTGAAAAAAACCTTTTAAAAACTCACTAAATACCAAAAATACAAAAAAAAAATACAAGAATTCAATACATTTTTTATATTTTTATGTATTTATTAATTTTTTAAAATATTTTTTCACAAATTTTTTACTTTTTAAATACATCTAAGTAAGGTGCATTTAAAAAAGTAAAAAAAATGTTTAAAATTTTAAAAATATTCACTAAAAACAAAAAAATACGAAAAATAAAAAAAATTCAATTTTCAAAAAACTCAAACCAAACACACTGATTAATTTTTATTTTTTTTCATAATAAACAACAATGAGATATTACTAAACTTAAATGTTAAGAGTTTATTTGGATAAATGTGAATTTTAAATTAAAAAATTTGAGATTAAATTTTATACAAATTTTGAGGAGTAACTATTTTAAAAGTGGATTGGAAAATTAAAAAAGAAGATATGTTGAGACAGAAATGATATATTTTAGTAGAGAAATTCTATAAAACATACGATAAAAAAAATATCTATCATGTGTCGCAATTATGATATTCGTGGTCTTTAGTTATAACACATTATAGTGTTAGATATAATTTATTTATAACTTCTTGTGGTTGTTATTTTAGTTATGACTATATATCAAGTAATAGTTAGTTATGATTTATTCTGATATTAGTTATGACCTATTGTAATTTTTTTATTTTTATAATTGAAAATGTGTTGCTTGATTATAATTTATATAGTGGTCATTTTAGTTATGAATAAAAAGAAACACATGAAGTATAAACTCCATAACGTGGCTACGCCTATTACGCCATAACATGAACAGTTATACATTTTTATAAGGTTATAACAAGTTACATAAAAGCGAAGGTTGATTTCATTTTATGCCGTTTACGATGGTGCAAACATTGCAAACTCACCTCCAGTAAAGTTTTGAAAGTATAGGTGTCAAATTGGGATGCAAATCGTGTACCTTTTTTATTATTACACATTTAAAAATAGATAGTAAAAATTAATAGTCAAAGAAAAAACAAATATTGTGAAAATAAAACGCTAAATAATAAATAATCCTTAAAATTACATAAGTAAGGTTCCTTAAATTAAATATTAGGATAAATTAAAAATACATCCTCTGAGGTTTACTTAAAATACGAATTGTTCCCTATGGTTTGAAAAATTACAAATACCTCCCCTGTCAGAATTTTCTATTTAACAGAATTAATTGAAAATGTGAAATTTTTAACTGTTCACCTATACAATAATAAAATTATCTAAATTATTAATTAAAATAAAATTTTAACATTATTAAAAACTGTTAATTACTTGATGATTTATTAATAAAATGACCTATTTGTTATGAAATTAGAAATCTTAGGGAGTATAATGTAATTTCTAAAACCAGAGAGGGTAATTTGTAATTTAAGTAAACCTCAAAAGGTGTGTTTTTAATTTATCATAAATATTATACATTGATCAACACTTATAAAATGCATATAAAATGTTCCCTAAATGCATATAAAATGCAAGCAAATTTGAAATATGTATGACAAAAATACAGTATTTGAAAGTGACATTAATAAATTCTTGAATCAAATTTAGAAAGAAAAAAAAAATACACAAATAAAAAGGAAAAAAAAGCAATAGAAAAGTAGTGGAAAATAGTATATCGTATTTTAGCATACAAATACTATAAAAGTAGAAAAACCATAAATAGAAAAAAAAGAATTACAAGAAATCAAAACAAAGAAAATCAAACAAACAGACAAAAGCAAATCATGTACCTTTTTTTAATTGCACATCTAAAAATACATAGAAAAATTTAATAGTCAAAGAAAAACCAAAATATATTGTGAAAATCAAACACTAAATAATAAATAATACTTAAAATTACAGAAGCAAGGTTCCTTAAATTAAATATTATACATTGATCAATACTTATAAAATGTTCCCTATATGCATATAAAATGCAAGCAAATTTGAAAATATGTATAACAAAAATACAGTATTTAATTAATAAATTCTTAAATCAAATTTAGAAAGAAAAAAAAATACACAAATAAAAAGGGGAAAAAAAAAAGAAATAGAAAAGTAGTGGAAAATAGTATATCATATTTTAAATACTATAAAAGTAGAAAAACCATAAATAGAATAAAAGAATTACAAGAAATCAAAACAAAGAAAATCAAACAAACAGACGTAAGCTATTCCGACTCAGTTTGCTAAGAATTAAACAAGCTCAACTCAAGCTTAAAAAAGCATTGAACATGTAGACGTAACCTATTAGGGCTGCAAAGTTGAGTGAAGCTTGTTGGCATTCCGGCTCAGTTTAGTAAGAATTAAACAAGCTAAACTCCAGTTTAAAAAATTGAGCTTGAGCTCGATTCATCAAATACTTGAGAAACTCGAGCTTGGCTCAAGTCAACTCAAATACATAAATGAGTCGAGCTCAACCAGTGTTTTCAAAGGCGAAAGCGCAAGGCGAGGCGTTTTATCCTTGTCGAGACGAGGCATAAGCCTTTTGAATTTTGAATTTTTTTATTTTTATAAAATACAAAATTAATTAAATGTAGCATAAAAAGAGTAAAAAAAATAAGAATTACCAAATGAAATTTTTAACAGCCATTCTAAGCATAAAACCAAAATTAATTAATAATTTCAAGTATTGTAAGAGTTTTCTAAGTCATTCTCATTAAAACTATAATAAAAAAATAACTTAAGTGATGGTCAAAAATAACTTATGTAACGTCCCAAATTTCTAACCCAAATGATAATTCAAACCCACACACATACAGCCCTTGGCTTATATACAGAGTCACAGCAAAATGAGAGTCTCGTACTCTCAACACACATTTCCTCGCATTTAGTTAGGCGATATCACCACATCTTTTCCTGCACAAAAATTCCGTAGGGTGAGCATAAAGCCCAGTAGGAAATCCTTAATAAAGTATATACGTTTTATACAAGTCTCAACAGATGAAATGCACATACCATGCTATGCTCTTTTGAAAGAAAATCACATCTTCATCTTTGAAAACCCTCATGCTCAATGATGTCATGCAATTTCAATTCTTCAAAACTTAACAATTCATTTCAAGAGCGGTAAATACGACTCTAGTAATTCCTAGGTCGGTGTCTGCAAGTAGACTATACAAATACTACCAATTTGTCATTTTTACAGGTATTAACCGGAAGGCTCAACACCTATCCGCCCTCTTTCACCCTGGACTCTCAGGCCAACTTATTCAATATCATGTACACCACCTATTAAGACTTACTAACGTATTTACTCCAAAACAATTCCATGAAAACTTGTTTCTCAACATTCTTTTCTCAATACAAGTTTTCAAATCAACTTTCAAAGTTTAATGTAATCAAATGAATTGATATGCCAAAAACACAAGATGAATATAAATACTTTTATTCCAATTCATCATCCAAGGAATAACACAATTCTCTCTTCTCAAGTATCCTCAACAATTAGTCATATCAAGATTATTTCAACGTTTTGAACAATAATTTTCAAAATGAACAATAATTCTCATATTCCCTAAAATTCATCATTTATATAAATATAAATAAGAAATTTTCCAAACATCCATTTATTTTGACACACAAAATAAATATAACAATATCATATATGGATTTTCAGTCTCTTAAATTTTTTTTCCATATTCTAGGTTTTCTCACAAAAACTATACAACTCAAATCTTTTTAAAGAAAATTTTCCAAAATTATCTTTTCTTCAATCAACGAAAATCAAAACCCATAAGATCATTTTAAAAGAACAAGAGACAAACCCACTTTCAAAATCGCTTAACTTCTTGAATCAACAATCAATTTTCAAAGCTATCGAAAGATGATTTCGAAAATCATATAGATCTTGCAAAAACATATATATAACTCTAAGAAAATCCCTACCTCAAGTTTTGAAGAAGAAACGAGATGAAACCCCCAAAATTAACGGTGTCGAAACTCGATCTTCACCGCACACAACGAAGCCCTCGAAATGATAACCAACTTTGGTGAAGAACTTAGGTCTAAATCCCAATGGATTTGGAGAAATCAAAGAGAAAAGATGACTTCTAGAGAGAGAAGCTCCTGATCTGGAATTCTGGAGAGTTTTAGAGAGAGAGGGGACTAAAAAAGTGATCTGAAATATCAGATTCAAGAACTGATATAACATGATCCGCTCGAGCTGGAAGGCCCCGTCCGAGCGTCAAATACACTAACCCAGTACTTTTGCAGACAGGTCAAACTTTTGAAACCAAACATTCTCCACTCGAGCGCATAAACGGCCACTTAAGCGGACAAGCAACTTCGAATGTATTTTGCATTTTTGCTTGTCGAAGTGGCAAAACATGAAAGAATGATCGAAACCGGGATCGCTGCAACTTAAATTCCAATTTTTCAATAAACAAAATAACTTAAACTCTAATACTCTATAAACAAAGCAATAAATAAATAATAGGTCACTCTAAGTCATCCTCATTAATATTGTCATCATCATCGTCCACTATATCTAGGTTCCATCATCTGTTCCATCATCTATTCCACTAACTTCTTTGAACTCCATATCTTCATCCACAAGGATGCATCTTGCTGCCTTGCATTTTCCTTTATCATTTCCTATACAAGAAATAGGATTTCAAATTAATTAAATAGGCACATATAATAATATATATGCAACTAGTCCATAATTGATTAACAACTTACTTGAACCTTTACCAACTTTTCTTTTCTTTGCATTCGAAGATGAATCAACATTAATTGTTGTCGTAGTTGATCGATTCTCCTCACTTCTATCATAGGTAGTGATAGGCACAATCCTAATTGCTTCAGCATCGAACAATTCTTCTTCATCAAGCCAAGAAGCATCAAAGGGGAGGACAGGGCCTTCTTTTTCAGCAATCCATTCATCATCCGAATCAATTCCATCAATTAGTATTGGATCGATATTTTGTCTTCTTTTGATACTCCTCTCTCTTAGTTTAGTGTTGTACTTCACATATACCAAAGCATTCAAATGTTTGTGCTCAAGCCTATTCCTCTTTTTTGTATGAATCTAATATAATAATATAAGAAATGAAATATAACAAGTTAGAAATATGAATATTTTATTTTATGCATAAGAAAGTTTTGGAAAGAAAGATATACTACTGACTCAAAGGTGCTCCAATTCCTCTGACATCCCGAAGCACTGCAAGTTAGACTAAGTATTCGAATAACAAATTTTGTTAAAATTTTGTTAACTCTGGTGTTTTGCTCCCAAAACGAATCCACTAATTAGCTACATAATTTAAAAAATGCACAAATGATTTCAATCTTGTATTTTAATTTTAAAGAATGTAATTGGAAAATTATTTTCATATTAGTTTCTTACCGGGAAAGCGTATCGCTCTGGAATCAATTGCAACACGACTTCCGAATTCCCTTTTTCTTGGTCATAATAGTCCAATTGGATATCAGCCTTGAGACGCTCATCGTAACTCAACATTCTATCCATGCATTGATACAATCCTTGCTTCACCTCCTCAACATTGGAGAAGCTATCTCAATAGCGCAACTGAGGGTTTAGATAATAATGAGCAGCATGTAAAGGTCTATGAAGTTGTGGTGTCCACCTTGCATCTATCTTCTTCCAAATTGGTCCGTTCTTCCTAACATTTCCTCCATAATTGAAAACAATCTTTTCTTTAGCCAAATCCATCAACTCATAAATGTAACCCATAGCAGACCTCTCCTCTGAATCAATTTCTCGCAAAACACTAACCAAAAGTATTGTGCTTTTGATACAAAAAGCAACATTAAGCTAAAATTTTGGATCAAACAACACAGTTGCACAAAGACTATAGTTAATTACATGATGATATAATGTTGTGGGATAGCAAACTTGTTGTGTACTATAGATTGTGTGAATCATGAAAAATAGAGATTTATATATTTGAAAATACCACATGTGGCCTTGAAAGGATTAAATTGACTTGAATTGTGTATGATGGGAAGTTGTTGTTGTATGTTGAAGGCACATGGTAATTTGTGTAAAACAACGTTAAAGGGAAGAAATGAGTAATGGGTTTGTTTGTCATTGTTGTTAAGACATTTGAAATTGGAAAAGGTGTTATGATATATGGAAAGATCATGGCATTGCATTTTCATTCTATTACTATTTTGCATTGTAAATTTCGATGGAAGATAATTATTTCATGAAAGGAAATGATGTTGTAATGAGAACTATGGTAATGTGAATGGGGTAAATACGCGGTAAGTCCGGAAATGGGGTGTAGTTGAATTTGATAAGTTAGCCTGAGTGTCCATGGTGAAAAACCAGAAACCCGCATGGATAGGTGTCGAGCCTTCTAGTTAATACCGGTAAAAATGACAATTGGGTAGTACTTGTAGAGTTTACTTGCAGACACCAGCCTAAGGATTACTAGTGTCTTATTTACCGGCCATATTGATTAAAATTGGAAGTTTTGAAATGTATTGTGATTGTAAGCTTGTATTAAAAAATGGAAATCTTCAAGAAGTGCATGAAATGAATTTTTTTTAAAAGAGCATGGCATGGTATGGACATTTGCATTTTTATTTTGAGTTGCATAGCTGTATATACTTTGTGAGAATTCTCTACTGGGCTTTATGCTCACTCCTATGGGACTTTGGTGCAGGTAAGGATGTGGTGATCCCATCGAGCTAAGTGCGTGGATATGTTTGATGAAGAGTAGTTTTGCTCTTACTTTTATTGTGATATTTTTGCAAAGCCTAGGGCTAATTTGGTATGGGTCCGAGAGAGCATTTTGTGTAACGGGGTTATTGCCTTGGGAAGATGTAAGCCCTTAAGGGCATTTTATTATTTTGAGACTAGATGCTTCACATGCTATAGATTCATGTATTCTTTTGTTTCATTGAATGTATACCGCATGTGAAACTTTTGTATTAAACTCATTTATTAAATACATGAAGATGGAAGGATTGCAGTTATTGTTTAGCGAATGTTCATTAGTGTGGGTAGTTCATGTTGAATAATTTCGGGGTGTTACAAAATTAAACTTGAAATTAATTATTAGCATATTAAGAGAAAGAAAAAAGAGAAAATTGAATACTCAATCAAATATGTAAATTTACAAAAATACCAAAACCAAACCAAACCAAACCAAGCCTTAAGTCCCATCAAATGGGGTTGGCTACATGAATCATTTTTCTCCACGCGGCCCTATCAAAGGCCATTTCGTTAGTCAAATTAATTAGATTCATATCTCTATTTACATGCTAACCAATGTTAATCTAGGCCTACCCCATCCCCTGACACTTCCATATACCATTATAGCATCGCATCTCTTCACTACTGCCTCTATTGGTCTGCCTTAAGTCCCATCAAATGGGGTTGGCTACATGAATCATTTTTCTCCACGCGGCCCTATCAAAGGCCATTTCGTTAGTCAAATTAATTAGATTCATATCTCTATTTACATGCTAACCAATGTTAATCTAGGCCTACCCCATCCCCTAACACTTCCATATACCATTATAGCATCGCATCTCTTCACTACTGCCTCTATTGGTCCCCGTTGAATATGACCAAACCATCTCAATCAATTCTCTCTCAACTTATCTTCTATCGGTGCTACTCCTATCCATTCCCGAATACACTCATTCCTAATTCTGTCTTGTCTAGTCTTACCACACATCCACATTAGCATTTTCATCTCAGTCACACTCACCTTATCTGCATGTTGTTTCTTGGTTGTCCAACACCCCGTTCCACACAACATCACTAGTTTAATAGCCGTTCTATAGAACTTACCTTTAAATCTAGTGGGTATTCGTTTATCGCACAGTATCCTAGACGCACTTCTCCACTTACACCATTCCGCCTTAATCCTATAAGCCACATCCGCATCAATCTCCCCCGCTGTTGTGATAATCGACCCTAAATAACGAAAATGTTCACTCTTAGGCAGTTCTTGATTCTTAATCTTCATTTCTCCTCTGCTTTCATTGTTATTGTTACTAAATTTACACTCCATGTACTCTGTCTTAGTTCTACTTATCCGGAATCCTTTAGATTCAAGAGCTTTTCTCCAAATTTCCAACTTTGTATTAACTCCTTCTCTAGTCTCATCCACTAGCACTATATTGCGCGTCATCTTGGATATTTCTCGTCAACTCATCCATAACTAAAGCAAAAAGATAAGAACTTAAGGTAGATCCTTGGTGTAACCCTATAGTGATAGGAAATTCATTTGTCTCTCCAGCAGGCGATCTAATAATGGTCACCACCCCTTCATGCATGTCCATAATCACATCAATATAACTTTTTGTCACCCCTTTCTTCGCTAACGCCCACCATATTATATCCTGAGCCAATCTATCATATGCTTCTCAAGGTCGATAAACATCATATGAATGTCTCTTTTCTTTTCTCTATACGTTTCTATTACTCTCCTCAAAAGATAAATCGCTTCCATTGTTGACCTGCCAGGCATAAATCCAAATTGATTCTCTGACACCTCTGTTATATCTCGCAATCAGCGTTCTATCACCCTCTCCCACACTTTTATTATATGACACATTAGCTCTATTCTTCTATAGTTATTGCAATTATGGACATCTCCTTTATTCTTATAGATTGGCACTAAAATACTCTTTCTCCACTCATTTGGCATATTCCTAGTCAACAAAATTTTGCTAAACCACCTAGTCAACCAAGCAACCCCTTTTTACCCAAACACTTCCAAGCTTCAATAGAGATATCATCCGATCCTAAAGCCTTATTTGATTTCATTTGGTCCTAAAAGTATAATTCAAAAAATATACATAGATGAAAAAGAAAGCAAATAGAAAAAGAGAGGAAACATATTATCATATTTTAGTGTATAACTGCAATAAAGAATAAGGGGAAGAAAAACATAAATAAATAAATAAAAGAGTAATTCCAAGGAATCAAAACAAAGATAATTTAACATATAAATAAATCTGCAACCAAGCCGAGCTTAGCTTTTGGGTGTTCACACACAATTTACTAAGAATTGGCCAATATCAAGTCAAACTCGAGCTCGGCTTGAATCAACTCAATTACATAAACTTGTCAAGTTCTGAATAAAAGATTAACCTTATATTTAAATTGCATATATTAATTACGAGAAAAAGCGAGTAAAATATAAAAACATTAGAAGAAATATGTAAATTTATTCATTCTGATGTACCGGGAAAAAAATGTAAATTTGCAAAAACACCAACAAAAAAATTAACTAAAATAATAGAAGATTGAAAACTCAAAAGAAATAAAAGAACTTGGAACATCTTAAAAGAAAAATTAAAAAGGGAAATAATTATCAATTAGTAGTGGAAAATACCTAGAAAAAATTACACAAATAAAAGGGGGAAAAAAGAAATAGAAAAGTAGTGGAAAAATAGTATATCATATTTTAGCATACAAATACAATAAAAGTAGAAAAACTTTAAATAGAAGAAAAGAATCACAAGAAGTCAAAACAAAGAGATCCGAACAAATAGACGTAAGCTATTAAGGCTGCAAAGTTGAGTGGAGATTGTTGGCGTTCCGGCCGGTTTACTAAGAATTAATCAAGCCCAAGTTAAGCTTAAAAAATTTAGAGATTGGTGGCGTTCCGGTTCGGTTAACTAAGAATTAAACAAGCACAACTTAAACTTAAAAAATTAAACTCGAGCTCAATTCATTAAGGATGCGTTTGTTTGGATGGACTGGATAAAGAAGGATTGTAATCCATCGGATTATTAGTCTTGGGATACATTGTCCCGGGACTATTTGGTTAGACTAAATTTGTATCTTATGTTTGTTTAATCATGGGATTAGATGTCTGGATTGGACTATTTTTAGTTCTCCAATATTTGTTTGGAATATTATGGAGAAGGATAAATGCTCAAATGACTATTTTAAACATAGCTTTAATATTTTAATTATTTTTAACTAGAGTAAATAAAAATTTGTTTTATTTTATTTTTTGCACAATATTTTAATTATTTTAATTTATTATTTTCAATTAAATTAAATTTATAATTTATAATTTATATTTTTTATTTAATATATAATTTTAAATTAACGACAATAAAAAATAATTTTATTTAATATATAAATTAAATTTTCAACAACACTAAAAAAATTTAATTTATAAGGCCATAATTTATAATTTATTATTTTTAAATAAATTTAATTTATAATTTATAATTAAAATTTTTTATTTAATATATAATTTTAAATTAACAACACTAAAAAAATAATTTATAAATGTTCAAAAGACTATTTTATCATTTTCTAATTGTTTGCTAAGTAATAGCATGGAGGGTAAAATGGACATTTCACAAAATAGTCCCATGAGATACCAGTCCCATGGTTTCTATCCCACCCTCCCCGTGGGATAGGATAGTCCCATATTTATGGAACTAATAGTCTGAAACAAAAAAAATGAAACAAGCAATGGACTATTAGTTCGGTGGGACTAATAGTTCAATCACAACTCCTAATCCTTCAAAACAAACACACCCTAAGTACTTGAGAAATTTGAACTGGGCTTGAGTCAACTCAAATACATAAACGACTCAAGCGCTAAAGTATGAAATGAAAAATTAAACATGAATTAATTATCAATCAAATATATAAATTTACACAAACACCAAATACTTGGATACAAATAAAATAAATTAATAAAAAATTGAATATTCAAAAGAAATAAAAGAAAAATATAACATTACCTATGCCATAAAATAAAAATATAACATTTTACAATACTAATATATAAGCAATAAATAAAAATAAAGGACAACTTTGAACAACACCTTAAAAGAAAATAAAAGTACAATGCATAAAACATACACAAATGAAAAAGAGAAAATTGAATGAATACTCCATCAATCAAATATGTAAATTTACACAAACACTAAACACTTAAAAAAAATGAAATAAAATAAATTATAAATTAAATTAATAAAAGATTGAATACTCAAAAGAAATAAAAGAAAAAAATAACATTACAAGTGCCATAAAATAAAAATATAACAAGAAATAAAATAAAGGACAACTTCGAACACCTTAAAAGAAAATAAAAGTATAATGCAAAAAATATACGCAGAGGAAAAAGAAAGCAAATAGAAAAAAGAGTGGAAACATATTATCATATTTTAGCGTATAATCGCAATAAAGAAGAAACGAGAAAAAAAACATAAATAGAAAAAAAAATTTCCAAGAAATCAAAACAAATATAAATATATTTTTGCAGCCAAGCTGACCTTAGCTTTTGGATGTTCACTCAGTTTACTAAGAATTGGCCAAATA